ATTATACGTAATACCACTAATGGTTTCAGGAATGTAAAGTTTCTTATTTCCTTTATTTTTGAATTGCGTTACGACATTCATCTTCTTTCATTTGAGTTGATGGACTTGACTTCATGTAATTCAACTCATTTTGTGATGATTGATCATTTTGTGATGATTTTGTGATGATCACAATTGAGTTGTTCAGTTTTAAATTAATGGCAGCTTCTTTGTAATTTCAAGTAGATACACGTGTGAACCTTACGTTGAATGTTACATTTTTCAGTACACGTACTTATGGCGAAATGGCGTCGACGGTGACGTTCCTCTTGTCTCACCTTCGGCCTAATCGTGTGATGGTGTGCTCATTGGCACGTTCCGACGTTTATCAACGAGCACGCGGCGAGTGCGGCTCGTAAAAATTCGCATAACGTTAACTACCGCCTACGTCTATCGGGCACGTGCTGGAAAATGGAACGCGACTTAAGTAAGAAACATTTTTCTCTTTAATGCCATGCCGGAGAGAATGATATTCAACGATGAAGAAATGAAAGTAAAACGACAGGAACATTTTTTATTCAATGCTTCCAACTGTGCAAAAGGAGTAAAGGCGTTTAATTATTTCTAAAAAAGAACTAGACTTTTATTTGACATTTAGACTAGACTAGAATTTGGAACTAGACTTTTATTTGCGATATATCATAATTCCTGTCTGTGGAAAGACGCTGAAAAAATCCTCATTCAAGAATATAGAGCATGAAGACAAGAATGTTATAAAAAGCCTCGATCTAGAACAGGCTGCGCGCATCGAAGGAAAAACAGCCGTTTCCACGGCGGCGGTGTAGTCTCGAAATACTGGGTCGGAGCAAGGTTGCATTTAATAAGGTGTAGTCGTCTGACCTTATTTTAACAAACAGGTACGCCGGCTATTTGATTAGGTCCACCGGGCTCGGCGCTCAGCATTCTATTTGTTCTACGTGCTGTTCGTGTGCCTGTCGCGAGACGACTTTAACGAACGGTGGAAAGACCTGACGCCGCCGCGTGTGCATTTGAACACGTTTTCTAACGTAGCCACTCCGCGTCTGGGGACACGTTTCTTTTTTTTCCCCTCCATCTTTCTCTCTCCTCGTTTCAGGCGCATTTACTTAGAAGCAGATGCATTAGAAAACTCGTATGACGAGCCTTGACGACCTCCGCCGGGATAATCAATGCAGTCGACTCCTCAGATGTACGTGTGTATGTAGGTATGTACTGGAAAACGGGAAAAATTCCGGGAATGTGAGAATACTCGCTCTCGGTTTAATTGGCCATCGCGTGGAAAAAGGGTGGAGTATATGTATGTATGTACTTGGTTTTTACGAGTCTCGGGCATTTTCAAGTGTCTGCACGTGCTGTCTGATTTCATCTGTTCGCGTAGAATGGTTTGGAAAACGACTGGTTTAACATAGGGTAAATCGAGAAGAGACATGGTATTACAAGTGCCTGGAAGTAGCAAAAAATATTCATGTAACAGGTTAAGTAAGAAAATGACTACCATATGTACATCTATTAATTTCACTTGAGAATTTAACTAGACTGACCGAACAACCTTGAAAAATCCTTTTTGCACTAAACCAAACTCGGCTTGCCATACTTTGTACATGTTCATAAAAAATTACCGAGGTTAACAAGATTTATCTGACCTAAAGCAAAATTTGTCCTTAAACTCCTTAAATGGATTTAGAATTTAAACGATAATGGAGAATGGCGAAATTGGAATTAGCACGAGCGAACGCGTGGCAGAACTTTATTTTTCCCGTAACAAGGCGCCGAGTATCTAATCTTATCAGCGCAAATAAAGAGCAAAAAAGTGGCTGTATCGACAAGGCAGCTTTTTTATTCACGTGATACGCTCGAGTACGATCTATATTGATTTTCGATACGAGGCGAGGGTGGGGCAAACCACATCGCGTCGTCGCTTTACGTCGCGTCGCGTCGTTTGCTGTGGATCGTACCACCCGAGATTTCGCCGATCCCACTCATCCAGTCTGCGAGATAAGGACCCGGTCGGGCCACCCAGTTTACGATAAAATTCTCTGGATCACGTAGTCCCGATCGATGGCACGGTGTCTGACCATGTCAGTCGTCATTTTCCAGCATGTAATTGTGTCGTTCCATGACATCTGACGACTCTTAACTATAATTTGTGAAAGGTACTCGGTACATAAAACGGTTCCGAGTCGTCAGATAAAACGTCCCCGTGCTATGTACTGTATACCGTTGTCCTCGCTTATTTTTGCGCACGTCGCGTCGCATCGTGTATGGTCAGACCCACGTCCCATCACGCCTCCCCGTTACGACATCCGCAGATAAGCTAATCGACGCTGTAAAAAGCGCAGTTCACGGATGACACTGTCGTTACGTTGACGATACTTGCGCCACCCAACGATAACGCGATATGGCTTGGAAACCTCCGATACACCTGTTAAAGGGCTGCGCAGATCGCTCGTCCTCTCCGTAAGATATAATGTAAAGTAACTTGACTGCGGTCGTGTATACATGTGAAATTTTCAGATTACTTTCGTCCACAAATTATATCTTATAATTTAATTGTTTTAGTTATGCAAATTCACATTCCGATTAGGTAACGTCAGTGTTAATTGTATATTTTATTTAAAAAAAAAATTAGGTTGTACGAAAATTTAAAGTGCACCAATATTTATCATATTTATGATTCAGTCAGGGTTTCTGTATAACAAGAAACTTTAAAAAATGGATAGAAAAACGAAAATATTCTGATTATATATGTGGAAGATCGTTTAGACCCTCGCATACTCCTGTGTTTTAGGGGAATGGAAAGTATGATTTTACAAAAACGGGCAACGTTACTTTACCTTACTTTATCAGGGATAAACGTATTCCTTTGAAATCACTTCGCCTGCTTGTCATTACCCGCGATCAACTACTACCAAAAACCGCGTCCAAGAGGTAATATCCCCCATCCGAATATTCGAGTAATTTCGCACGGTTCGCGGCGAGAGGAATTCGGCCATCTCGCGCGAGCGTGCAGGGAACGATCTCACCGGAACAGGGCAAGACCCGTGCAAGGTGGAACGCCGTCCAGGGTGGCCCATTACAGCCTCCTCAATGACACCAGATTATCCGTGGTCCTCCGGGCGCGCGGTGATTTCTGTTCCGTTGCACCGCACTACTACGTGCTACCTACGGGAAAGAAGCCTAATTTCGTTTTAACCGTGAGCGCCGCGCCGCGCCGCGTTATCAGACGACCATCATTTGTCCCGGTGGACAGGTGGCGAAATGAAGGACCACACCGCACGTTCAATTCCCTTGATATGCGTGTACCGAGATTTTCGTACACGCAGCATACGAACACACTCACCCGGATGTACGGTTCAGATTCCGATCGCGCGCGGTCAGCTTCCGTAATTATGACGATTGGAGGGCGATTACGTTTTTGCAGGCCCATGCCCGATGGGGTACTCGACTTGCATCAGACAATTGCGTATGTACAGATTTCTTTTTACTCTTTTGAAACGATTTTTACGAGAAAGGAATTAGGCTCGAATTTGATTCGATTAATTTCATCTGATTGAAGTGCAGATTTGTGTAGGTAGATTCAGAGAACCGATTATTGCACGCATGTAAGTATCGCTTGTACCGTTATGCGAAATGATTGGCATGATTGTACATACTATATATACTTCGAATTTGTGAATATGTAGTTACATTTCGAATGCAAAAGGTATGGAAAGAAATACGGAATGAAAGAAAAGGTTGCAGGGTGCATAATAAGTCATCTAGGCTAGAGTCCGTGAAAATTATACTTTTTCATGTTGCCTACATAATATCTATACATTTTTCCAAATACTACATAATTAGATTTCCCTGTGATGCGATGACCCAACTGATCTGAAATTTCTTAATTGGTGATATCCGTTTCTGAATATCGGGGATCACTGTTTTCAAGCATAAACGCTAGTTCTGAAACTTGTGACACAAATTCGGTAGCGTCTATGGACCACCAAAGGAGAAACGGTCGATTTCCTTGAAATTGCAGTCGTCTGGATTGGGCGGATACGACCCGCGATTAGATGTTTCGCAAAAATGAAAGGATCCGCCGGCAAAAAATCAATATTCCTGTACGACGAATTGAGATACAAGGTAGTTGACGGCGATTAGGAGCTACCGGTGTGGCCCGATTCACGTGGTGTGGCTAATCTGTAATTGTATGGAATCGCGAATCACCGGCCCTCTAGACCGTCCCGTGGGCTACCGCCATCCGACTGTCAAGAGACATAGTTCTGACATGGTAGTGTATACGCATTTGCACAATATTAAATTTCAATGTGCCCATTCAACGGGAAGTATGTGTTATTTGTACGTTACTTGCAAACCGAGTTTTCTTGTAACGTATAGTTACACTGACTGACTTAACTATTCAAATTTAACATATATAATATAAATATATACATTCCTCTTTTCATATTTTCGATTATTTGTTGGATTATAATAACTTCATGTATAAATTCTTACACAAATTAAATGATCAACATGTTATAAAGAAGAGATCGTTTATTATTTCCCAGTACAATATTTAAATAAAAAGTTTTACGCACTGAATTCCATTGGATTGACAGAAATCATGATATTGAACAGCATTTACCAAAATTCATTTCATCGACAATCCCATGCAGCTAAATCCCTTGGACTCAACACCAGCTGTCAGGAAATTAACACAGACTGCTCAATTTCTCTCGTACCATTAAAAAATTACCAACAAACCGTCGAGACCCACGCAGCCAAATGTTTGAAACTGAACACCGAAGTCATCAGGAGATTAACACAACCTGCAGACGATTTCTCCGGCTTGCTCTGTCACAAAAGCCTCGGGAAACAAATCGTCGAGAGTGCACGGCCCCGGCGGAGGAGCCACCGCGCCAGGAAGGACCTTCATCCTGACAAATGATGCAAGTTGCCGTCACGCCGCCACGGAATAATTACGCGGCCCTGGAAACACGGGAAGCTGGCGAAGGAAAGAAAAACAGCGGCGATCATGGCACGGCCAAAGCTTGAAAAATTAAACCCGAGTGTTGCCTGCTTGTTCGCTGTGCAGCGTCGAATCGCCCGCCAAGCTTAAGGGAATCCCTTGACAAATGTAGCGCACCGGGAAAAGAAAATTGCAGGTCGAAAGCGTTGACAAAAATTTTGCCAGGAGATCCTGCTGCTATATCGCCAAGCAACCCGGTCGACAAATTACATTTCTGGGTTGTAATATGCTGAAATATGCAACGAGCAATCACTGTTGTCGCCATGAATGCGATCTCGTTTCTGGGCTTCATTGCGTCTGTTGAAACTCCAGTAGAAAATACTAGGATACATGTATACGTTTTCGCGTAATGGTAAAAAAAATTCTATAATAACATAGAAATTCCTGTTCCCGTGTTGAAATTCTTGCAGCATTTTGATGTGTAGGAAGTAACATAACTCACGATACGACAGACCAAATTTTAATGTACTTGGAGCCGAAAACGGTTACACCCGTAACGAGCGTAAGTTCTTGAATAAAAGTAAGTCAAGCGCGCGAGTGAACGCGTCGACAGACGTGGAAATTGCGTGTTTTTTAGTCGTACGAAGGCGACGCGACGCCGAGGAAACAGTCAGAGTTGCTGTAGCCACCGGGTCGAAACGCGAAGCGAGACGAGGCGAGGGTCCGCCGCCGTGCCGAGGTATTGTTAATGAGAGCGCGTGGCGTAACTCGAACCGGATGAAGCCACAAGGGGTGGCACCGGTAACTTCGATAATTAATACGAGGCGGCAGACAGTAATCGATTCCTCTCCCCCTTATTCTTCGTTATCCTCTTCTTTTTACATCTTTCTTTCATTATTGCGTTCTATTTTTTATTCCTTTATCCGTCGTGCATGCGTTCTCGTACGCTGCGAGCCGATTTCATAGCCAGGAATTACGAGCAATAAAACGCACCTGTTTATTCATGACAGCGCCGATTTATTCGCGATACGAGCCACGGTCCATGATTATTGGGAACGGCCGAAAACTGACCAAATTACCCAACCAAACGAGCAGCGAATTGTTCGCCACATATCTGTACCTAAGTACTTACGTACCTGCATGCGTAAAGCGCGTGCACGTGTAAGTTTGTATACACGGTACATACACGTGCATGTGTAGGTCGCTGCATCGATGCTACCTACGATCGTAAATGCGTATCGATTTCTTCGATCTCCAGTCCAAGGAGCACGGTAATAAAGCCCGTATAATATGTACTCTTTTCCATTGGGTAAGGTTGTCAAGTGACAGTGCATTTATTTGCTTCTCGGTACGGGAAACGGACACGCAAATGGAGGCATTAATTAAGTCCTAATTAGGACTCGTAGTGATTAAGTGCGGTGTTAATTCGAGAGACGCAGAGCGGAATTGATTGCTTATGTTAATGATACAAGTAAACGTTGATATTTTGGAAAGCGTGCGTCTCGATTTGTAAACTTCTTCAACTTACAATTAGTTCAGCTATTTTATAACGCATTAGTTGATTCAATTACTAATCCATGTTTCTTGACGTAAATGATAATTATTCTTGTATTTTTTTTAAAAATAACAACTGATATTAATATATAACATTTTTTATGTTGTAGAGTAGGAAACCTTTTTTTGCTAATAGATATTTTATTAAAGTAATTGCGAGCATTGTATTTTATATAGAGAAATACATCTATTGAGAAATTCTTGTTGAAAAATTTTCTTGTACTCTACGATACGATTTAAATTCAACGACAATGTATTTTCCTTTTTTTGGGAAGCACTTTGTCAGTGGAAAGCATGTTATTTAGTATCATCTTAATACTGAAATGTAATCTAGCCGTTCTGCATGTCTACAGCAAAATAATAACAGCGTTTCGTAACTGATGTTAGGCACGTGAATCTTCCGTCGTTTAGCAAACCAGCGATATTAGAGAAATGTTAGTTATTAAGCATTCGTTGCGTGACATACCAAGTAACTTCATTATCATCGTCACGAACGTGCCTCCAGCTACGCATGATCAAATTCAACATTAGTACGTACATACATTAGCGTCCATATGTTTATAATAATATATAGTGTTAACTATTTTATAATATATTTATAGTATTAAATTCATAGAGTCCACACAAGATTCAGACTTTGAATTAATATTTATTATATTTATTATAAGACGACAAAATTCACTTGACTTCTATGGAACACATGTGTTCAAACTTAGCAAGTTTCAATGAAAAGTAACATGCTGTGTGACGTCGTTTTCAAACTTAAGTTAATTGCACGCCATCCAGTATATTAACGCGACTTCCTTTTCTTCCTGTTGCATTTGGGTGGCGCGCTAAATAAAGAGCCACGAATTAGGGAAAGAGACTAATCGTCGTTAGTTGAACACGCAGCTTGCCAGCATAGTTCGTTTGACAGATGATACGAGAAAAACGGCGGAAATTTGTGGCGGTAATTTAGTCGCTGGTCAAGGAAATCGTCATTTTTCAATGTCATTATTAAAGAAACATCGTTGATTTTACGAAGAGGGAATAGTGTTAAAGCTGACAGCAATTTAAACATTTGTTTTTATTTGTAATGTACACGACATGATTTAATTTAATTAACATAATGTAACAGTAAGATCTGACTGCAAGTCTACTCATTAATACACCATGGTTTTAATTAAAAGACGTATAGACTTATGCTTTTTGTTAACCGTCCGAATAGCTATGCACGGTAGTGTCCGTGTGTCCAGCCTGACGTTTGCATGTGTTTGCGGGGGCCGGTAGTTTCACGTGTTCGCATGGTCGATGCACAGTGACTGGCGGTGTGCTTGTGCAGCATACTGTGGCTTTTTGTATGTGTGAATCGGAGTGTGTCGCGGAGGATGCACCAAGCGAGGGGTCCGTCGAGCGAGGTAATGACTGGAGCTTCCTGCTGTGTTCACAAACTACACGGGAAAGGGAGACGTCCCCCGTGCAGGATATCCGACATTTAATCTGATTTCTGGATTACGCCGCCACCTCCGCCTCCACCCCCGCCTTCAATGCCGTCGCATCGTGCGTACAGGGCTGAAACATTCTCGCTGTTACACACCTCCACTATCGCTGTCAAACCTCTTCCTCTCCCCGCCCCGTCGCTAACAATAATGCTCCCTTGCGTTAACCCTTCAAGAGATTTAATGTAGCGCTTTGGAAGACTCTACTGATACATCGGAGGTAGGGATGTTCCCTTTCATAGATTATTAGAAAGTCGAAGTGGGTTCAGTCGACAATTCCAGTTAGGGCTAAGCAGGAAATGCGAGGGGTATGTTCAAGGATTGCAATCAAAATAATTAAAAAACGAAAAAATACGTTCTCACTAAACAATCATTAATCAGTTCTCTATTGAAATATGCAAGCAAATATGTATATTAGTAGCATGGATTGTACCAATTTTGTATGCAATTGTACTGCTACCGGTATTTAATCTAGCAAACTTCATTGAAAGTTATTCTTTCTAGGAGTAGCGGTTTTATCAGTTCTCCCATCGAAGCATCAACAACCGTTTAAACAAAAGGGTGTAAGTTTATCCTTCGGGGAGATTCCTCGATTATAGCCGGGTTACGGCTAGGAGGAGTCGGCCTTCCGGTTTCAGGACAATATTGCCGCCTTGTTTCGACCGTGGGAGATTGCGAAATCTCCAATCTCCACGGCGCGGCGTGTTTTCTTTACTGGTACAGCTGTGGTTAATTGGTAGGCCGGCAGAAGAAACGCGGACGCAAACGCTTTAATCACCGTTAATATCAGCGCAAAATAAGACCAGCTGAGTACGTAACCCTGTGGCACGTAGATGGAGGAACACAGGAGAAAAGTGCATCGACTTTTGTATTGCGGATAGCTTAAGCGCGTCTAACGTTACAGTAAAACGACACGGGGGGCTCGCGTTTATAATTCACGCGACCGCGTGTCCATGCGAGCGCGAGACTTTTGTTTCACGTCACCCTGAATCACGTTTCCAACGCACGGGAGCTAAGTGTGAAAGTTGCGAACGAGCTACCGTTAACCAGGCTCGTTCCGACTCGATCTTATTTTATACTAAAATATGTCAGCTATTTGCACTCGACGAATGAAGATTTTGTATGTTGAAAGGATGCAGAATATTTAGCACTGTTTTTAATAGCGGTGTACATTTGAAAATAGAATCANGTTTTAATTTGCATACAAAATCAACAGTTTAGAAATTTTTTATTCATAACCCTATAACATTATTCTAGCTTCGCTCATTAATTTTCGACTGTATGATTCAAATTAAATCATTAACGAAAACATGAAAAAAAAAAATCGTTGTGAACGCCGCATAAGCAGGCACGGGTCGCCGCGTACGACCGCGTGCCGTTTGGTGGGGATTGGCGTGCGTCGACTTCTCCCATGTAAGAAACGAGCCTGCTTATGCAGTCTCACCATTTGCGCGCTAGTCCGTGCGCATTCTTGGAACTTCGTTAACAGCGTTCTTAGATCAAAATAGAAGCTTTTAATTAAACGTATGCGGAGGTTGCCTGAGAGTAGGGATAAATAAATTTATGAGCGGTTCTTTCGCTAACGGAGACGATGCATTCGCCTTGCTGCGCGTGCATCCCCCTTCGCTAATCATCGAACTAGTAGAAAAAGGTCTTACTGTCGAGTACCATGCAGTAGACGGCGCAGTTTCTGACTTACTAGCGCATCTTTAAATCCATCATTATGGACATTGCGTTGCGACTGGTACTCCTGACAGGATCGCAAATAAAGATCATCGGATAGAACGTCTCCTGTCCGGTATTGTAATAGAGGTCGTAGGTTTGGATGCTAACTGTGTTATATAAATCGACCGACTCGCCTTGTTTTTCCTACCTTTTCGAGGGGTAGACGACGCCTTTCACGCCACTTTGTCCCTCGTTCCTGGCGGAACGTAGAATTTATTGCACTAACGAGCTGTGAAATACAGCCGAGCGTTTCGCAGTTACGTACTGTGCATACGCACGTTGTGGGAGGACAAAGAGGTTTACAACGCTCGTTAAGTTCCATTCTCGAAATCGATCACTTTTAACATCCCCTTAACTTTCGAATAATTGCATTCAGTCACATTTCAGTTATACTAATTACAGTGCAAGCAAAACGACAATGATTGACATTTTTAATATGCATAGATATGTGTATAGAATTATGGATTCATAGAAAAGTTCACTTTCTAATTATATTTCAATTTTGGTTTCTGTTTTGGAGAAATTCCATGATCATCTCTTCGTAACTGAAATATCAGCAGTATTAGTGTTATTTCATCAGTGGATTCTTCCTTCCGAAAATCTTCCACTCGTGCTTGAACAGCTATTATCAAGCCATACATAGCTTT